ATATAGGAAACCCTTAAAGGACAATGTCACTAAATGTGGTGATCTTTAAATATATAGCAGATGAAAGTTGTCATTTCACTTCCTTGCTTGTCTTTTACCTTCTAAAACACTATTTGGGAACAAGTCTTGGTGCAGTGCAAACAGCAGTAATCCACAGGAATCAGAAATGATTCTTCAAATGTTTGCAATACTTGCAAGCTGTTGAAAATAATTCTGTTTTATTTATATTTTTGGATTAGTCCAGCCATATATAAAGGCAGGCATCTGATGAGATGTACCTGTTTTGATCGGCATGTGCCTGAGCTGCAGTGTCCATGCATGAAATGACTGCCCTCAGCCACTCCCTCTGTTTAGTGCTAGACAGGAATGTTTCGCTTGGCCAAAGATTCTTGTTTAGACAATGGAGGGAGAAGGAGAGCCAGCAGTGTAAGTTACCACTGGCATTGCTTATTACAGGTGTGAACAAAAGGTTCCTCCCAGTGGCTAACTGAGGGTACCGAGCTGGCTGGAAGTCATGCACTGGCAGTACCCACATTATTTCTTCCCCATACCAGTGAAAACAAATAATTGTTCTTTGCACTGGTATGAAATAAAACTAGTGCGGTTTCTTTAACAAGAAGCCATCTTTTTGCTATTGTGTCAGCGATTTAAATAAAAGGTGCCACTATCACTGGGTTTTCCACTACGAATTACTCCCACAATTTAAAAATAAAAAGCAAAAGTGATGTCCTAATTGTTTCAATGCGTTTTAGAACACTTACATTTGCATTAAATGTTGTGAATTTCCATGTATGTTGTATATCCTTCAGACAGTTTTCAGTTCTTTATTATGGCTTCGAATTTCTGCTGTTCAAAGAAATCCAGTGCCAATTTACTTCCTGAATACTAGCCTGTATAACCACTTCTAGAGCAATATGTCTTATTTAAACTTATGTGCAAATACTAAATTTCCTCCCAACCAAAATGCCACAACTCAGAAAGAGGGATATTTCTATGTAGAGTATGTCGAATAGCTAATATAGTGATCACATTCTCATCCACATAAAAGAGAGTGGTGGTTTATCAGTCATACACAGACCATGTAAGGAAGAAATTGGGCTAATTAACCAATGTCATCCTCCAGAATGGCAAGCGTAAACCCTGACAGTAAGCATCCTATGCTTCCTGTACTCCACTTTGTGGTGTGTCGGAGAATTCCCACAATAACATGTAAATAGAGGGGAAATTGAAACATCGCCTAGGGTAAAAGTACATTTCAGGATGAAAATGAAAGTGAATCATTAAAACAAGAACAGCATTTTTAAGATACTGAGGTTGAGATGAATGTATTCTTTGCTGTCACATTTTCTATTCCTTTATAGATGTTACACAGGCTAATTTGCATTTGTCAGCTAGGAAGTACATCATTGGAAAGAGTGGATCTTCTTTTTTTTTTTTTTTTTAATGAAATGGTACATTAAATACTGGGGATTGGGATTGTTTGAGCCCACCTCTGCCTAAAACCAGACATTTCAGCATTGGATGTGGTCCATTGAGCTGAATTCCCCCCCACCAACTTAATGTAACTCTTGGACTTTCCACTGGTGAGACCTCCCCACCGTAGTTTTTTTCCGCTGCCCCTTTCCCATGTCTGTAATGAGGTCGCCCTAGCAGCTAAATGTCCAATATTTGGAAATTGTACATGTATGCCTCACTCAAGTCCAAGGTTGGGTGTCAAAGGTAGTCTCATATAATTGGCAATTAAGGTCCACATGCCACTCTTACCAGCACTATTTTTCAACCAACAATTATATTTTGTGTGTGTGTGTGTGTGTGTGTATACCACATCAAAAGAATGCTTTTGCAATAAAGTTGTATTCATCTTGTATAAAAGCACTATAGTGCAATAGATACAAATTTCCAACTATGCCATATCACTTCAAATGTAATACGGCAAGAGTATTTGTTAAACTGTATAATTGTATATAATGCATGTACTTGGATAATGTGAGCACCACTTAGTCATATAGCAGTACATTCAAGTTAGTACCCCAAACAGAGTAATGAGATAGAGTGGAGCCAGACTCTGATGAAAGGAGGAAGAACCCAACATTTCAGGATTGGAAGTATCAGGGGTCTCTCTGTCTCTGTCTCTGTCTCCTCCCGCAAAGTTAGTTACACCTTAATCTGCAGGATTCACTTTGGCAAATATGAATGGTAGTTGGAAATATTTGATCTCCAGATTTGCTGAGGATGCCCCCTATCTTCTTTAGCTTAAATTCACTACCTCCTGCCTACTGAACCACCTTCAAACAAGTGATCAGGAAAGAAAAGCTGATACAACTTTACACAGCTTGAGTCCTTGCTTGCATAGGCCCACTCTAGCAATTCTGCTTATGGGTGGAGTTAGTCTTTTACTTTTAACCTCTTCATTTGAAGAGGTAAAATGCTGGATAGCATTCCTTTTACAGCTTGGCTGCAGTTGTGACAAGAGGCCATCCCTAGCCTTATGAAAGTGGCACAGTCTGTTTACAGGGTGGAATTAAATGAAAGTCTGACTTCTAAATGCAAGCTAAAAAACAACTGTGCAAGCAACACCATGTGTGCATCATAGATTATTCTCCTGTGTTGCACCTGTGGCCATGCAAATGGCCTTTTCATATGTTGGGCTTTTGATCCTTTGTTTGAAACATGGCTGAGTTGCTGTAAGATCTGTTGAACCATAAAGAAACATACTGCAGCACAGCTGTAGGGAGCAACATAGGGCAAACACTTGTGTGCATTAGCCCTAAGGCAGCATCCTCCAGCATTTATGGTACACTGAGCATAGTATGCATTAGAGAATAGATGTTAGAGACCACATGTCAGATTATACTAAGTGCGGAATATAAAATCATAAATCCCTGGGCCATCCATTGTAAATTACTTGTGTCTGCCTACAGAAATGTCAATCATCCTTGCTAAACTTGCATATAGTATATTTCCACTCCCAATGACAAGATGACAAACGGATTGAGAGTCAGACTTGGGAGCTTGGAAGCGTTTTAAAGGACAAGTAAGCAAAAGAACAGGTATGCATGCATGCGTGCATGTGCAGAAGTTTAGACATTTGTCATTGTACGCTAAAGCAAACTCAAAAGGGGTAGCTAGCAGTATTTTGTTTAATGGGTGAAAAAAGTATCCACTGTATCTCCTTTTTAAAATATTCTATTTTTAAAAGCTCTGACCCCCTACTGTTTTTAAAATATCAATCCATGAATGTTAATAAAACCCTTTTATACACTTCAAATTGACAATAGTGATGTGCATGTATCTTCAACCAATGCTGGGCTTGCTGTGAACCCAGTTCACCTGAGATTGCTCAAGCCAACTCAAAACTGTGACCGACACCCCCTAGCACTTCCAGCCCAATCAGTGGCGGAAAGGCACATTCCCCACTCTGAAGCGATACATCAGAAATGAGCAGGGAAGGCCATGGTTACAACTGCTTCCTCCAATTGGGTTGAGAGGTAGTGGTCATAGTTTTGAGCCGGCTTGGACAAACATAGGCGAACTTGGTTTGCACCAACCCCAGGCTCTACTCTACTTGACAATATAACCAGACAGGTTATAGTGAGTGAGATTAAATGATATGTGACATCTTGCATGTGGTTAAACCTGCATGCGTTCAATATAGAACAATAAAACGATCTTGTTAACAGTTCTCATCTATGCATTATTCTTACCCTTGTCAAGAATTGAATCCATGTTTAGGCAAGGAATGGTAGTATGGAGCATGATAATAAGCTGTTGTGACTCTGTTGCTGTATTGCTCAGATATGCATTCCCAACATGTCTGTCAAGACACATGTTTAAACAGATAAAGAAAGCAATTAGGCTTTAAATGCATACAGTATATCCAGCTGTACAAGAAGTGGGACAAACAACAAAAATAAACAACCCTGAATAAATGAAAACAAGCTGATTTTCCTGAGTAGTGAGCTAACGAGCTGTAATCAGCAGAACGCAATGGTGATTAAATACTAATTGGATGGGAGAGAGAGTGGTGCTGTTAGAGTAGCGATAGGGCCGTGATGTTGAGCGGCTGTGTCTTTAGGGCCGTATTACAAATGTCCATAGATAACGGTGCTGCTATTAGGGGATTAATAAAACCGTTTAACAAACTTTATAACAAATGTCCTGCGTGGGTAAAGTTAAAGAGCCAAGGGTGCATAATACTGAAAGTTATTTCTTTTTTCCTTTTTTGCCTAGGCGTGTCTTGGATCATAGCCACAGCAGGGTCCTATTTGCATAATAGAAATTTAGCAAGCCTGTGAGTAAGGCCTAAGCTATAAGTGTAATTTTATTTGATTTGATATTGCTGCTGAAATTGCCAGCTATTAATCCAATTGCTAACTGATGGGACATATTTATTCCAATGGCATTGGCGGTACAGCAGCTTTTAAAGGAAACCTTCCCCAAGAAAAAAAATGGAGGCGGACATTGCAAATCTCTCATTTTGTAACTGCCAGTTGGTGGCTGTCCTGTTGACCTCTCCCCCTCAATGTCTAGTCCTGTGACAGGTGTTTTTGTTTGCGCCCTATTGAAGAGATTTCCCATCGTGACAGGAGGTGAGGGGAAATCTCCCCAATAATTGCACAGACATTTATGTCACAAAAGTGGAGGAAATCATTCATTTTCTAAAAAATGCTACATGCATTCAAGCATCCAAAATGGATGTACACACATTAGCTAACACAATGGTAGGCAGTCTTGGCACATGGCACTCCAGCTGTGGTGACACTATAAATCTCACCATGCCTCTACCTCTTGTCATGCCTGTGGCTATCAGTCAATGCCTTGTAGTTTTTGTAGTTTCAATGCAGCTTGAGTGCCAAGGTTGTCTTCCCCTGATCTAACAAAAAAAGCTTAATCCACTTGCAGTCCTACTTTCAGCCTTGGCTCTGGTATGAGAAGTTAATACCAAGCTAGATTTCTACCTCTTCTAGATTTCTAGCTTTACGTATGTAATATAAGCCAGTATAAAATTTTACATGTAACTATTTTTAGATTTATCACTTACTGGCAGCAGGTGGTACACTAGAGGCTGAAAGTTTATTTGGTGTCAGTTACTGCTTTGCTGGGAATAGCTTCTGTACAACTACTTGGATGCTATTTTGGTCTACTACTATTGCACACAACAGAATGACTTGGAGGAGGGACACATCCTCTGCAGCCCCCTCCCCTGCTAGCTCGCATGAATCTGTTTTGATTTTTAGTTAAAGGGAGCTACAATGTGAGCAGGCTTTTCTGTGCCTCTTTTGTTAGAAAGCCCAGCAGTGCTGTGCTTCCTTAGCATAAAGCCTAGCGTGTGTTACAAACGCAGCATGAAGGCAAACTGTATGACATCTTATTAGTACAAATTGTAACTATTAGTAAGGTAATAAAAAGAATCTGTTTAGAAACGAAACTTTAAAAAAACAAAACAATTATTTTAAAATATATACAGTAGCTGTAGCACCTCAAAGCGTTTTATGTCCTCCATTTAAAACATCAGTTTTCTTGTGAGTGTCAGGGAAAATACAGTCCAATTCACCGCAAGTGTTTTCAAATGTCTATGCAAATGACCATCCTTGACATCTTCTCCTGTGGCCATATTTCTCCTTCCCCGAATCAGACTGTCACACAGGAAATAAGGGCACTTTCCTCCCACAAATCCTTCACTGCTTTTCCTGTTGAATAAGCTGTAAACCTAGGAGATTAGAATAATCAATCAGCTCTCATTGTGATTTAGAACATCAAACATGCAGTTATCTGAAATGTGTTCCACTGACATTGCTGCACAATAGTACACAATCTTAAAGTGGGTTTCTTTTAATATCTGCAAACAATAGTTGCGTTAGACCCAGTTGTGCAACTTCAACCGTTTGGTACACAGTAACTATTTTTGTTTCCTCCAAATAAAGGTTTACATTTTCTACATTTCGTTATATTGTATAAACACAAATTGCTGAATCGGTGGCAGACGCATGAATCTACTCAGCACCTATTGGCATGTTGGTGAACTAATATATTGCAAGGTTTTATTTAGTAAACTTGAATGCAATCTCATTACCTTCTTTTGTTTTTTTTGTTTTTTTTACGAATGTTATTCTGACCAAGTCATTTCTCTGTCTGGGAACTGGAGAGTCTGCCTTGGCTACCTAACTGATGAGTCCCAGTGTTGTCATAAGAAAAGTAACATTATCTTCAACCCCTTTTAACCTTGGAAGTGTCTTATAAACTCATTCACCAATAATGGTGCATTGAGCAAGAATGGCGAGCGATGCAGGAAGATGAGGGAGTTGGGAAGCACTTGGTGTCTGGCACTGACATTAAATGGGTGTCTGAGGCAGGGAGTGGAACGTCAGAAAGCCCACATAGACTGGCAGTTTGGATGCACTCTTAACCTGATGAATTGGAGTGAGATGGCATGTTCTGGCTCTCCCCTGGGGACCTTGCCAGCAGTAGTTAGTGCAATAAGGACACAGGCTAACTGTGGGTTAAATTGAGCAAGGCTAAAGTCTCAAAATATGGAACGGCCACTGAACAATTCACAGTAGTCCCTGCCCTAAGAAGCTGTGAACCATTCATATAAGTCCATGCTCCTGAGGAGCTTACAATCTAATGTCAACTCTATGGCTAAATCGTTTGGGTACCAGTATGACTTGGCTGTCCTGCTATCCAGTGTAAGAATATCATAACTTTTATATTGGCTGCTCTTTTATTAAACACCTCTGTGTGAAATGTATCGGTGGTTCTGGAGGTGAATGGCCCCTGGAGTGCCAGTTAGCTAGTGCAGCTTTAGTCTATTTGCCATATGAGATATTTGATTGAAAAACAGGCCGTGTCTTAAAATGTGTAGTCATGTGTTTGCTTAGCCTGGAGTGGTGGGTTTTAATAAAGCCGCTTCAAAAGTTGAAATATTTTGGTTGAATAGCCACTAAGCCCACAATTATAGATGTTACTGTATACATGCAAATGAAAATTTCTTCACTCATGGTAAAACCTGAAAGACAATGACCTGTAAAATTGTCAGTACACTTACAAGTGTCCACTTACTTTGTCAACATGTAACGTCCCATTAATGTTACATCCTTGTTTTCTTGAATCCTTTTAAAGGTTGAGGCCTCCCTAGAAGAGCAGGAGTTCAATGAGATATGGGGGGAAAAAGCCAAGGAACTTTTCACTACTTCATATCAAAACTTCACTGATACACAGCTCAAGAAAATCATTGATTCTATCTGGACCTTGGGTGCTTCTAATCTGAACATTACAGATCGTACAGAGGTGAGTGCATATCTCCTCCTTTTTTGAAGGACACCCAAGTAACCCCGAATTTCTAATTTGTTTCTTCTACACCCTTCAAATGAATATTACTTGTACCATGGCTAGTAAAAGGTGTTTATGTGCATCACATATGTTGAAGGGATACTGCATAATAATTATTCTTGTAATTCCCTGTAGTTCTCTCCACTGGGTATATATATCCTTACTTTTTAACCATGCAGCACAAGAACAATACATTAAAGCAAGGAATATTACTGGGACAGGCACAGACAATCATAACGGTTTTAGAAATTCCAAATTCCAAGCCTGAAGTTGGCCTTTAAACCAACTTTGTCTGTTAGCTGACACCCAGTAGTGGTCGCTTAGCATGATTACTTTCTGCAAAATGCCTCCACTGTATCCAAGGATGCCCAAAATATTTCTCCAGCAGCTCCTGAGTTTCCAGGAGACACTGCATCCCACAATTCAATCCAGGTGCCTTGACAACTGATCAAAATGTACTTCCATGTCATTGTCTGATGCAGTAGGGCAGTGCATATGCTGTGGCAGCTTGGAACTCCTGGGATCAGATGGTCACTTTGCAGATTGCAATTGTGCTCTGCGGGCATGGGTGGCACCTGTTAACCATAGATGAGGTTAATTTTAATGTGCCTAGTAAGCACAAGAACACTTACAATTCAGTCTTGGTTCCTGGCTTACCAGTAAGACAGTACTGATAACCTGTTACAGAATTTTGTTTCCATTGCCTAGAAAACATAATTGTACCTCTGCGAATGTTAGTTTATTTTTTTGCATGGGGCTGTTATTAGAAAATGAAGTCATAAATCATTTCAGCACCTGCTTTTTCACCTGCTTTTTCACAGTACTGCATTTTAACAAAAGTATTTTAACCCTCATAACTGACTCGAGAAACTAGCCTGAAACATTTAAATACAGAGAAACTGGCAACACACAATGATGTGCAAGTGTTTTTTTTTCTTCTTTACATTTTTATTTTTAGGACATAAATCAAGACTATATCTTAAAGCTGATCTCCATCAATATGTGAAAAATGTTCACATGTTCACTTGTACAGAAGTACTCAGACTGAAAGAGGCACTATAGGAGCCAACCTGGTACTCTGCATGCACATGTGCTGATGAGGAACATGCTAACACGAGAGAGTAGAAAGATGATCTAATCAATGTGATGCTGCGCCTTCACTGCCCAGTCTTATGCTAGAGGCAGGGACGTGACCTAGTTTTGTTGCTTAAATCTAGTAGAAAAGAATCAGGTCTCTGGGCTGGATGTGCAGTCTGGTAGAGTTGTGTAAATCGCAAGACTGTGTGGAAGAAATATATATGGCATATTTAGCTGTCTGCCTGAGTTCAGATATATGTGTATATAATAGATAGATAACACATAGTCGTCACAATCTTAAAATATAACCATTATAAAACGCAAAAGGTACGCTTTCCTTTTCCTATAAAAGGGCAGGCAGACTTGGTTGTGTTACACATATTATGTAGTCCCCTATTTTCGATGTAGAATTTATGACCTAGTCATTTAATAAAATGCACTTGATTCCTGGAAAAAAAACAGTACATGACTGATAAGTAGGCTGTTCACAAGCCAGGGTTCATGCAGTATAGTACAAGACAGTAAATGTTGAGAGGTAAAGGAAAACATGCATTCTTTTTTTTTTTTTTTCCCCCTTATCCACTCACACAGCCCTCCTCCCGCTTCTCATGTATGTATCCCTGTTGTGGGAACATTGCCTGTGCTGACCTTGAACAGGCAGTAAGGAGCCTGCGACGGATGTAGAGAAATGTCAGGGATTGTCAGAACTCTTCAGATGGAAAGCGATTAATGCATTTAATGAGTTCAAACACCCGGCAACTGCACACTGGATCCTTGAAAGAAAGGAAAAGATTGCAGCCAGCCGGCACGCAAAGGAAAGATGAATACACACAGATTCTGTGCTTGCTACATCCGTCCAATTTGCCATAAGGCAATGGGATTGATTTATGAAAGGCATAAAGGCTGTTCACTAAGCGAATGTTTACTTTACAAAGTATATACTTAAGGCTGAACTCTAGGCACAAAAACTTTGATTTACATATATTCCTCAATATACTCATGTAAGTTCACTTTCTGTGCACCAAATGGCTTTGCAATCCCAAATATTACCTTGTAATTAGCAGTGACATCATCACTGTATTGTACAAAGAGCAGAGATGTGGGAGGGACCTAGCAGGCCCCACCCACTGCAGGTTGCCTTTTTAGAGAACTACAGGAAGGGATGGAGACCAGACCAGTCACCCTGTACAAGGGGAGAGAGCAGCAGTGACCGGTCTTTATTACAGGAAGCTGGTGCGCACAGTACATTTTAACACTGGATTACTGCACAGATCTGGAAGAAATGCACAAAGCACAACAACATAGAATAGTATGGATGGTAAGAATACACGTGACTCTTATATTAAGACAATATTTGCTTACCTGGAGTTCAGCTTTAACTTGGTGACTCAAAGCTGTGCTCACTTTGCCATACCTGCCATATGCAAGGGACATTTAAAAAGCAGCTTCCCCCTAATCACTAAAATAAGTGAACATTCACCTTACAATGTGAACCTTCTCTATCCCTTCAGTAAAGTAAGCGCAATGTGCTGTAACATGTAGAAACTGGAGTTAATTTCTCTGGGATCTGCCTCAAACGGAAATGTGCATGCAACTACATTTTATTGCATTATTGTTCCTATTTAGACAACCACATTGTTAGGAACGGGTCCCACCTTCTAAAAACTGATACAAATGAAACAAACTTTTTTTGACGGCTAGTTAGAAAGCTTGATACCTAGAGAAGAGCCAATCAGTTTGTGAATAGTAAAGAGGGGGGAGTGACTTAAATCCCCTACATCAGTAATTATCCAGGTTCACACAATCATTGGTATAGAAATGAGGGAATATATGCAGAATGCACAATTTCTAATGTATGTAATCAATGGCACATTTGCTTTGCCAGGATTTTTCCAATCCAGTGTAAATCAATTTCCTTACCTTTTTTATTTTGTTTCTAAAGGCAGGACTGCTGTTTTAAAAATGTAAAACTGATTTTATATATATATATATAAAGCACCTACATTGCCCATAGTAACCAGTTCGATTCAGAGGAGATTTTTCTGTTGAGGCAGAGAATGATACCCGGTGCCATTGGGAATGGTTTTAGTTCCAGATTTCATAAATATGTGTCATTGTGCCATGGAGAATGAAGTTCTTTCACTGCCTGATATTCATTCAACCAGGGTGCCCATATTTTGAAAAGTATACAAATTTGAAAAGATGGAGAATAGTGTATTTTAGTGTCTAGCTATGGCTAGTATCCATTATCCCTTCAGGATGCTTTATATGCAGCTAAAGTTTATTGTTCCATACCCAGCAGTGTTGCAAAATCTCGTGAGCAGAAGATGAATTGGTGAAAATAGACTTTTGCTAGAAAATTTTAAAGCAATTACATTTATAATATAATATACCTCCAACTTCACAAAGTAAGAGTATAATGTTTAAATAGTTTGCGTACTTTGTCATTTTAGCTTGATTGCCCTTATCTTTCTGTGTCACTTAGTTC